GCCGAGGTCCGTGGGCGGGACCCCCCCCGGCCACGTCCCCAGGTGTATATATATATATATATATATATATTCACACGAATGTCGGCATCTTTGGATCGATGGATGGCGAACCGACGCCAATCGCAAACCGAAAACTGCACACATCCCCCCAAACAACTTTTTTATCACCAGAAAAGATGGCCCTAAAAATAGTGTGTAGATGCATCGGACCATCCGCAGACAGATACAGGGACGAGTGCGAGGACAGAGCAGGGCGGGGACCTCCATTATCATTGGGTGGCCCCTGAGTCACTCTGCGTCTGCATCGGTAGCATGCCGTCGCTGTCGAAGTTGGGCCCGAACAGGATCCTGGGCACCAGCTTTTTTTGCATCCCAGCGGGGCGAAGCCCCCAGGATGCGTCCCAGTGAGCTCCCCAGCTAGGGCCCCTAAGGCCAAGCTATGAGGCAGCTGAGCTATTTACATGCTTGTGTCTTCCCATGCCTCTGTTCCCATGCCTCTCTGCCCCAAGGCGGCCCCAGGATGCCTGAACGCGTGAACAAGCCCCCAAGACAACTCCAAGACGGAACGAAAACGACCAACGTCAGATGGCCCGATAACCCTGCGACGGCCCGAGATCACACCACGAACGCTCGAGGAAAACCCCAAGACACACCCAACCAGCCCTAAGCTGTGTCGACCGAACTGCTCGGTAGAATCATCGCGCCCAAGACGGCTCCAACAACCCCCAAGCTCCCATCAGGCCGCCGACGAACCCCTTATTATGGAGTCCTTAGATCCCTAGATGCCTCATAGCCTCAAAGAAACCTTGCCCCAAACACCCGAGAATCAACGCAACAAACAGAACATGTTATGCCCACACCCCGCTACAACATCGCAGCGCTGTCTTCGAGACTGTACTAGCAATGCTCCACGGAGCCTTTCGGGAGAACTCGGCAGAACCATGTTGCATGAATGTTGATGCCGCGCTGGCACAGTGCCTGGGGTTGGCAGAACGCAACCACGTATCTAGGCACGTCTTGCGTTACAGGAACTGCTCGGATAAAAGTGACACAATGCCTGGCGTAATTCACAACGTCGCGGAGAACAACTGCTCAATTAGGGGTGACAACGGTACACAAAACTGATCCGTCACCCCCCTTTGCGGGGACAATCGGGCTGCGAGGCAAGGGTCTCAACAATCGAGCATATTCTAGTTCTCATCGCGGCAACCGGGCGAAACTCAGAAAGTGGGCAACAATGATGTAGTCCCACGACCTCACGTGCAGTACCATGGACCCGCGCCACCGAAGCAACGATCCCTTGTAAACAAAGCAGCTGTGCTGTCAGGGCCGCGATCTCTGTCAAACCATGGGCCTGCTTCCCCGACCAGGCACTGTGGGCCCGCGCTCCTGAAACGACGATCCAACGCAAGGGACGGATCCACGCCCCGTGACAACGAGCCCCTATGGGGCCGATCGAGTCCGCGTTCCCGAGGCCACGAGCCCTGGAAAGAGAACGCTGCGGTCCGCGCTCTGGGCGCCACGATGCCCTGCAGAAAACCGATGTGCCTGCGCTCACAGGCTCCGATCCTCCGAACGAGCAACGGATCCGCGCTCCCGGGGTCGCCATCCCCTGTAAAAAACGTGGGTCCGCACGACGACCCAATCAACAAACCAACCGACCAGAAAGCCAACGATCTTGCCGACCAGCCAGCCAGCCAACCAACCGGCCAACCTGCCAGCCGTACAATCAACTAATCAGCCGAGTTCAACTGATCAATCAACCAAGCACCAAGCCTATCAACCCATTCATGCATGCAGTCCAACCGAGGGCTGGCGGCAGGGGGCGAAGCCTTTCACGTATGACTTGTCAGGGGTCGCTGCAATAACACTGAAATAATAGCCGCGTGGTAGGAGACTGCTGGTTTTACGCTAGTGCCGAACTGTGTGCGAAAACCGGCGCCTCACAGAGAAAGGTGATACGTACATAGTATGTAGACTTTGTATACTGCACTGGGCGCGACAATAACGACTGCCCTAATCTTCTTTGTGCCAGGCTATCGGTGAGACATATAATTGGGTACCAATAGTACGCTGTGATTAGAAATGCGAGAATCGGGTACGTACCCATGGTGCGCTGGACATAATACTGTGCCAGAGCTAATTAGGGCTGAAGAGTATCTCTCGTGAAGATTGCTCGGAGAACGTACTGTGCAGCAAATTGGTGAAAGAAGACTTGGTTTGGTAATCGTCGACTTGTGCCCATACACGCTGAGGGCGCACACTGAGGCCGGCACATGGCATATATGGTAACCTGTAGAGATCGTTATACCCCCCCAATCGTGGAAACCAGTTATCTTCACGACGCCCTTATTGACGGATCAAGGTCCCACCAGTAATGGAAAATGCTTATTTATCCGCGGCATCCAGTGCACAACAACGAAGACGACGACTACGACTACGACTGCGACTACGACCGCGATACATCGACGATTACAATTACGATTACGACTACAACCACGACTACGATTACGACTCCAATCGCGACTACAACCACGACGACTCTTTCCTATTGCAATTATCATGAGAAGATGCTCACGCATCTTCTCTTGTGTAGGGTAGCCCACCATGGATTATTCCTGGGGGGCAGATGACCTCCGACATGATCCAGCCCGCCCGACAGTAGAGGGAAAATCGTCTCCGTCGCGACGACGACGACGACGACGACGACTTGGCTGTCATTTGAGGGGTATCTTCTATAGGGAAGTACACGCACAACGCTGGCATGGACTTTAAAACGCCTAAATATATTTCGGCGCTGGAGCCGAGTGGAGGGGGAACCGATAGAAATGCGCCCTCGGCGGGGCATGGATGGGGGTTACAGCGAGAGGAGCAATGCTGGCAGGGAGAAGGGCGAAGGGGGTGAGGAAGGCGACCCACGCTGATGCCACCGATGCCAAAACGCCGCGCTCGCTGTCCTGTTTTCCCCTCGCCACCCCCGCCCTCCCCCCGCATCAACCTGCATCCTTCTTTCGGTTTCCCAATTTCACATTGACCCATCCCCCCCGCGCCCTCCCCCGCTCGCCATCCCTCCGCCTTCCACGTTCAATGTGTTCCTCCCTCCTTCACCGCCCCCATTCGACCCCGCCCCCCACCCCCCCTCTTCCCACCCCACCCCTCCCGAACAACGTGTCCTCCGCCTCTGCCCCCGCCCCTCGCGGCGCCCCCTCCCGCCCCCCTACGCCGCCGCCACGTTTCATTCCGCCCTCCACGTTCCACAATCCAGTTTCGTTCACCCCCTGCCTTCTCCTACCTCGCCCCCTTCCCCGCGCCATGTGCCCATTGTGGCAATTTCCAATTTTCCACACTGCCTCCTGGAACCCTTGCTTTCCCCCCGCACATCTCATTCCCCCCGCCTTCCGTCCTTCGTGATTTGCCAACATCCCTGTCGCACTTCCATGTGATCCCTCCCCTATCCCGAATTTCTTCGGCGCGCTCCGCTTCCCCCTGGTGCCGTTGGCGACCGCCTGCCCAACGGGTCAGTCTGAAGCAGGGCCAAAACCACATTTCAAGCCAAACACTTGCTTCTAGACAAGATCGACGAAACAGCGCCCCACTTACGTCTACGCGCAAGGCCGCAACCACAAGTCGACACAGACACCTGTCTATAGACATAAGCGAAAACCAAACGCACCCCATCTAATGTCTACACCGGCAATCGTAAACACAAGAGAACAGGTAATGTCTACCACCCCGAGACGCGTAGACATAACGCACGACTTAGTGTCGAAGAGAAACAATCTCGGTTGACGTAGCGCCAATGCTAATGTCAACCGGAAACGAAATATACATTAATTCCGGGCACCCCGCAAACCGCAAATGCCGTTGACATGGCGAGGCCCGTGTCGTCACGGCCATAATGTCTACCATTGTTGTGCGTTTCGAGATCGTTGGGTATCATCGTATTACCCTCGACAAATGCGAAATCGTCAGCAGTCGGCTCCCTCGGCGCGATTCGTGCGAACGGTGCGCCGAAATGGGCGCACAGACGATTTGCGGACCCCTCCGATGGGGCTGTAGATGGACCTTTCCAAAGGGCGCGGTGCACGTCGCTAACGCGCCGCAATGGGCGCAGCGCCGCCGTGCGAATTCCCCCTCGCGGCCCATCGATGGAGCGCCTAGTCGGGCGCGATACGCTTCATGGGCGCGACGATACGGGCGCGCATCCAGCGCGCGAGTTCTTCCGAAGGGGCAAGGGGCGCCCATGCTGGGGCATTGTCCGCGGGGCGGACGCGCCGAAAACAACACGTTGGCGTCGAGCGACCCACAGGGGCCACGCTGGGAGCTCCTCATGGGCGCGCGATCCGCGCAAGGAGGCGCCGAAATGGGCGCGGCGGCAGCAATGGCGGAAGGAGATATGGGGGGGCGAAAGGACTAGGAGGGACCGCGCGGCGCAGCGGAGAGAACACGAGAATCCAACACGCGAGAAAATGAAAGTAGCACGGGCGGCAATATGGCGAGGAAACGGGACGCAGGGCAAGAGAGGCGGAGACGCGAGGAACAGCGGAGAGGAAGCCCCACCCCACAAAAAAAGAAGGGTTACACATAACGCATAACAGTACCCCAACACTGAAGGAAATTCCAAAACCGCCCGCCTTTGAGGTCGCACCGGCAGCAGACCCGCACTCTCGCGGCGTCAGCGCAGCACCGCAGCTTCTCAGCCCCAGACGACATGGATATTCTCAACGGCGCCTTATGTCTACACTGGCTTCTGGCTCTATAGAAATAACCTTGAGCAACGCCCAGCTGACTGCCAAACGACGACTACGCTTAAGACTGCGATTGCGACTACAATCACGACGACGATTGGGAATACAATCGCAACTACAATCACGACCACAGTCACGATTACAACTACGTCTAAAATTACGACTACCACAACGACGACGATGACGACGACGACGATACCGACCAAGAGGAGTAGCAGGAGGACGAGGAGGAGCAGGAGGAAGAGGGGGGGA